GGGAGCTGACATCAAGTAGTTCAAGAAGAAAGAAAAAGTTTGAAACTGATTGTGGTAGTAATATATTGCTTGATGTGCTTGAACTATGGAATGTTATAGTATTTGTAAGAGCTCAAAAATGGTTAAAAAAAAGAAAATAGAATATTGCATATAGAGTAAAGGTAAATCGTTTCAAAAAACATGTCTCAGTTATACATACAGATATATGGGCACATCTCTATATTGCTTTGAAATAGTACTTAGCCTCAGGTTCTCAATCCATGAATTCAACCATCTTCAAATTGAAAATATTAGGTAAAAAACAAGCAGTTAAGCAGTCAAAGCAATCCCTCAAAGCTAAGAGGAAACATAATTTGCTATTTTATATAGCATTTACATTGTATTCAGCATATGAGCAATCTAGAGATGATGTACAGTTTATGGGAAGATGTGTGTAGGTTAGTATGCAAATGTTATGCCATTTTATGTGAGGGACCAATTTTGGTATTCCCAGTGACCTGGGGCCAATCCCCAGTGCATGCCATGAGACAACTGTACTAACTATTCTGACTTTTTATCCAAAAAAATCTGAAAGACGTTTGACCCTGACAGAGTAACCAATAACCAGAGAAGTCTTCGCTCATGAATCAACCAGAAATTGGATTAAATGTATGCACCAACTATTTCAGATGTTGAATGGCAGCATATGAACTGTGATCCTTAAGATGAGGAACACATGCAATAAGGCTCAGGATTATTCCATTTTTCTGCTTGGACACACTTTCTGAAGTGGCACAGAATGAGCAGAAGAGGTAGAAATCAACACTCATGGCTGTTAAGGTGACTGAACCTGTAAGCAAAGTATAGGAGAGAAGGAAGTTGTACAGAAAAAAAGTTCTAGCAATATACACAGAGGTCCCTTTTAATCCATTTTGCTGAATATTTAGCTGCACATGCACTGAATAAGAAATTGTGAGGCCTGACATAAATGAGCTACTACAGAGCTGAGTAGAGGTCACACAGTGCTGGGAGCAATGCTCTAACCAGCCAGACCTGTGAGACCTCACTCAACACCCTGGGTATTCAATGGAGACATCTCACCCTTCAAGAAAGGCTATACTTAGGAATTAAGGCTACCCGGGTCCTGTTGACTTGATGGTTGTGAGTCTGTTTTGAGCCTTAGAGTAAAGGCTTCTCTAGACCTGCCCTGACAAGCTTAAAAATAAGTTTTGACAGTATCAAACTGATCTGCCTGTAAATAAATTGCCTGCCAGAACAAAACCCAACACTCTTAGAAATACACACACACACACACACACGCGCGCGCGATTTTGGACAGCATCCAACATATAACATGTAAAATTACAGATATATAAAAATTACTAACAATACAACAAAGCCAGGGGACCTGAATACACAACCCAAAAAATGTCAATAGAAACAGACCTAGAAATGACTGAGATACTGAAATTACAGACAAAACCTTAAAAACTTTTGTTTTAATCAGGGATCGGAATAGAAAAATGGGCATAACATGTAAACAAATGGAGAATGTCATTAGAGAAATAGAAACTTTAAAAGAGAACCAAATGGAAAATTTAGAACTGAAAATTATAATAGCTGAAACTGAAAAAAACTAACTAGATAAGATTCAGGACAGATTGGATATTCAGATTGAAAAGTCAGTAAATATAAAGACAAGGCAACAGAAATCTAAATCAAAGCTCAGGGGGAAAAATGCTGAAACATAATAAACTGAGTCTAAACGACCTGTACTCCAGTACATGTTTAATTAACGTTCCAAGATAGAAAAGGGAGGTTGAGAAGAAATAATGGCTAAAACTATTCCAAATTTTATTTGAAAAGATAACCAATTGGTCCAAGAATGCTAACAAATCTAAGCAAAATGAATACAACGAAAACCCTGAGCAGGCATGCCATTGATCAAAAACTTGAAAACTG